TTTAGCTATGAAGAAGAGGAGAGATATAGAATGGTAACTAATAGGGAATAATCAGAACAAGTGAGAGCTTTTCAGGAATGGCGATTGGTATGTTTGTAGGTAGTAGCTATTAACTGAGGAGAGACTGAAGATTAGTCAGAGAATGGGGATGTTGGGTTAATCTTGAGAAAGGCTAGATAGAATGGGATCAAGAATATATAAAGAGGGGTTTTCTTTAATAAGATGATCCATCTCTTCATATAAAATAGGGTTAAAGAGGAGTAAATAGAGAGAGAAGATATTTGAATAATGTGAAGTGAAGGGGAAACTTTTGGTCAGTGACCTCACTTTTTTTTTTTTATAATTAAAGTTTGAGGTAAGGACATTTGCTGAGAGGGTTATGGAAGGGATGCTATGGGCATCTCAAAAGGGATCAAAAGGATTTGGGATAGCTCCTGTGGTGAGTGCAGATTGATTAAAAGGATTTCCTTGCTGCAGTGATGGCCTGGTTGAGATTGTGTAACATATTTGTAGTGGGCTCAGGTAGCATAGTTTTCTTCAGTTCTTCTCAGCAGTACAATAAATATTGGCTGTTTCAAAGTACATGTCCCATAGATATCTACCATGTCCAAAACTCAGCTCTTTCATTCCCTCATCCATTGTTCTTGATTCCTTATTCTCCACCAGTCAGTTGCCAAATTTTTGCTTCTATGTAATATTTCTCATGTACATCCCCATTTTCTCACACACTCGCTATCCTCGTTCAGCCCCTCATCATCTGTCCCTTGTACTTTTGAAGTAGTAGTATCTTTCTGATTGATCTCTCTGCTTCAAGTCTCTTCATTCAAATTCATCCTTCAAATACATGCTAAAGTGGTTTTCCTAAATGTCTGACTATGTCACTCCCCTACTTAATAAGCTCCTGTGGTTCCCTACTACACTTAGGATCAAATGTAAACTGTTTAACTTTCAAAGCTTTTCATAACCTGGCCCCTTGCTAACTTTCCAGTCTTCTTGCATTATACTTCCTTCTATTTACTCTCTGATCTAGCTATATTGAGCATTTTCTCTGGCAATCTCCATGACTTTCCCTCCTCCATCCCCACTGCTGATCTCCGTGGCCTCCTTTATCAACTAAAATCACACCTTCTACCTTCTACCCCTCTTAATTTTCGTGCGTTCCCTCTGTTAATTATTTTTTATTTATCTTGAATGTAGCTTGCTTTTTATATATTTGAGGACAGGGACTATCTTTTGCTCTTTTTTGTATATACCCACTGCTTACTGCAATGGCTGGCACATAATTGGCACTTAATAAATGTTTATTGATGGATTGATTTATATTGGCCTACTCGATGTTTGTATAGGAAACTGTTGCTTGTTACCATGCTTTTGTATTGGCCGTCCCCATTCCTGGAATTCTCTTTACCTACCTAGACCTTTCAGAATCTCTGACATCCTTAAAGAATCAACCTAAATGAGACATTGGGCAGAAAACCTTTTCTGGTTTCCCCTACGTGCTAGTGACTTCCCCTTTAAAGTTGCTTTCCTCTTGTTCTTTATATACCTTGCATATACTAATTTATGTATATGTTGTTTCTTTTAGAATATAAGCTTTTAGAAGTCAGGGACTGTTTTTGAATTTTCTTTGTATCCTCAGAGCTTAGCATGGTGTCTGGCACATAGTAATTGTTTATGAAATGCTGGTTTTTTAAAAAAAATCTTTACTGATACCTTTTGTTTTTATGTTGCCCAAATTTCCCCCAGTATCCTTTCCCCTCCCTTCTCCATGAAAGCCGTCCTTTTTTTTTAAAAAAAAAAAAAAAGGACTTTTAAAAGAAAAAGAAAAAAATCATCAAAACTGATCAGTACATCAAATATGTGTGTATATATATGTATACACATATATCTATGTATGTGTGTATACATAATATGTGGGTGCAATATTCCAAATCTTCCCACCTGTGTAAAGGTGCTAGAAGAGATGTCTTCTCATATCTCTTCTGTTAGACCCCACATGTTCTTCGTAGTTTTGCAACATTAACTGTTGATTTTTTGTAGTTCTTGGTTCTGCTTACATCACTGCGTTAGTTCTTGTAAGTATTTCCATGCTTCTCTGTATATATCATATTCATTGTTTCTTATATCAGAGTAATAATATTCCATTAAATTTATACACAATAGTTTGCACATTCATTCTCCAGTCGATGGGTATTTACCTTATTTCTAGTTCTTTGCTACCACAAAAAGTATTGCTCTAAATATTTTGATGTGTATGTGGATTTTTTTTTAGCACTGACCTTCTTGAAGTATATGCCTAGTAACAGATCTAGTTGAAGGAGCATAGCTGTATTAATCATTTTATGTCCATATTTTCAAATTGCTTTCCAAAATAGTTGTACTGATTCACAGCTCCAACAGTGCACTAGTGTGAAGTGTTTGTTGGTTGATTGATCCTTTTTATACATTGTAAGTTTTCCTTTTAATTTCTGCTTTTCAAACTTAGATACTCTTTTGTGCAAAGTAGAATTTGTGAGTTATTTGCATATGCTGCGTTCTGCCTAGTCAGATGCTGATTTCTAAATGTCCTTGTGTATTTTCTACAAAATTCATTCTTCACAAGAATTTACAATAATTTTAGTCAAAACTAACTCAACTTGAAAGAGCCAAAAAAATATTTTCACCAGCCAAAATGTAAATAAAACTAGAATTTTTTTTCAAGTGCTGAGGGATAATCTGTTAGTGATGGTTAATCTAATGACTGTAAATGAGAAGAACTTGCAATATGACCGTGCATTATTTAAAAATTAACAAAGAGGGCAGCTCGGTAGTGCAGTAGATAGAGCAACAGCCCTAGAGTCAAGAGGACCTGAGTTCAAATTCGACCTTAGACATTTGATACTTATTAGCTGTGTGACCCTGGGTAAGTCACTTAACCCCATCACCTAGCCAAAAAAACCCCAAATTTAACAAAGCCCTTAGTATATTAAAGTACTTTTTAGGCTAGTGACTTTTAAACATTTTTGTTTTATAACTGCTTCCTCAGGATTCTTCTCCTTTCCCTGCTCTCTGTCCCTTTTTATACTTTTGAGAACAAGTTAGCAATATCCCCCCAAAACAATGAAGCTTTCATTTCTTTAGGATTGGATAAGAGTAAGGGAGTCTCAGTAGCTACGAGTAGACTTTGAGAGAATGAGATATTTCCATGGAGGGAGCAAGAAAAAAATAAGTGTAAGAGTATTAACCTGTTCTTTGGTCTCTGGAACTTCTTTGGCATTCTCTAACAACACTGAGTTTCAGAAACTTTTTAGATTTTAAAATAGGTCAGGCCAATAAATTATAAGTATTCACTGCTAAACTTATGTGCTCTTTAGAAAAAATCTTATAGTATGCTCTTTTAAAAAAAGAAGGGTAACATATGGTGCTTTATTTTGTCATTGACTTACAACAAATCTGTGAGGTAAGTGCTTCCAGTATTATCCCATTTTTACAAATGAGCAAGATGAGGCTGTGATATTAAGTATTTTGTACTGATTCACAAAGGTATTAAATGTCTGAGGCAGGTCTCTAATTCAGTTCTTCTAGTCTTAAAGTCTAGCACTCTGCATGCACCACAGTTCTTGTATGTTGTATTTTGATAGAATATACACAGAAACATACACATTTAGTTTGTTTTAATTGATTGCTACAAAAATTACCTTGGGAAACGATTTAAAATTAGTTTTGAATTTTATTTTTAGTGTTCATATTGGTTGTATCATATAAGAGAAGTATGTACATTGTTTCAATAATAATAGCACTATTGTAAAATTGGCATACAATCTTAATATAGTTCTACAGACTTATGAATTGATTAGGTTCTGAGTATACACAGGGGAATATCAAGACAATCTTTGCCTTCACAAAGCTTGAGAGTGTAGTATAGGGATAAAATGTACACAGATAACTATCACATAACTTCAGTAATTTTTAAATGCGTACAGTCAGTCAAAGTGGAGTAAGGATACCTTCTAGCTGAGTAGATGGGGTCGATTTTATGGAGGGAGCTGCAGACAAGCTGGACCATGAACAAAGGAAGGATATCAATAGGCAGAAATTATGTTTGGGAAGCTATTTTAGAAGCCATTTCCATTCTGGGGAACATGAGAGCTTTTGAGAACTGTGAATGAGATTGTAGAACAGTCCCATTTGGCTGGAGTATGAAATAATGTGAAATAAGGCAGGAAAAAGGTGGGGTGGGGATAAACATTTATAGAGCACTTATGATGTGCTAGGCATTGTACTAAAACACTTTTTTTAACAAATATCTCATTTGATCCTCACAGCAGTTCTGGAAGATAGATATTATTATTATCCTATTATTATCCTTATTTTGTAGTTGAAGAAATTGAAGGAAACAGGTTAAATGACTTGCCCAGGGTCATACAATTAGTGTTTGTCTATGGCTGGATTTGAACTCTGGTCTTCTTGACTTTAGGCCCAGTGCTCTGAGCCACCAGCTGCCCTTGGAAAAATGAATTGGAGCCATATTTAGAATGGACAGAATGCCAGGCTAATCTCTTTGTGTTTTATTTGGCAAGTTATGGAAAGCTGCTGAAAGTTTTTGATGAGAGAAGTGGTATCTGTCCTATTATTTTAACAGTGTGAAAGCTAGATTTGAGAGAAAAGAGTCTCAAGATAGGAGTACTAGATTACAGTAGTCCAAATTAAGAGGGATAATGACCTGAAATTTAGTGGCATCGGTTAATCAAGAAACTTATTAAGTACCAGTTATCATGTGCCACACACTATATTAGGCATGGGGAATACAAAGGCAAAAATAACAAGTCACTTCCCTCAAGGAGTTTCCATTCTGTTGTGGGATACATACACACGTAGTAAATATACTACAGTACAGCATTTGAAGAAAGATATTTCATAGAATTGACAGAATTTGGCAAACTACATATGGGACATGATAAATACAAATATATTAAAGTTCTAAACTTAGACTATACCCTTTAAATTTTTATCCCAATTAGGTCTTGTCAAATAAACATGTGGCACCTGATCATCTGTTGCAAATCTGTCAGCGTATTGGCCCTATACTGGATAAAGAAATTCCACCCTGTATTTCCAGAGTTACATCTTTGCTTGGTGCAGGAAGGCAGTCTTTGCTACGTACTGCAAAAGGTATCTTATTTTAAGAAGTTTTGGGTTATATTCAATAGTTTTAGTAAGTTGTATAATTTGTGAAGTAATATGAACATTGTAAGCAAATGATAACTTCTAGATTGTGAAATAATTCTTGGTTTTTAGTTTGAACCTGAAATAACAATATTATTGGGCTCTTTTTAATGCTTCAGAATTTTCTGTCTTAAATATAAAATCCAAGGGGTTAAAGATGAGAGTGTCAGGCTCATAAAAGCTAAATTTTATTTTTAAGAGGCATTTCTAAGGTCTTTCTAAACTTGTAGATCAGAGACAACTCAATTTAGCATCCTTGCTATGTTTCTCATTAGCTTTATTAAAATGAAGTATCTCTACTTGATATCATATTCTGATTATCCATTGATATGTGATACCTCAATATCCTGATTTCAGGATTTCCAAAAAACATAGTCATTCAATCATTACCAAAAGTTTAATACCTCATTTATGTTTTTTCAAAACTAGATCATCTTTCCCAAGGACTACTCTGGTATAATGAACAAAATTCTCATTCTTTTTCATAGTTTTGCTTAAATTACTTTTACCAATCAACTAAATAGTTGATTAACTGTTTTTAGTTAATACACATTACACAAGAAAGAATATAAATTAAAATGCTTGTTAAACTTTATGAGCTTTTGTTTGTATCTGTTTGAGATACCCTGTATATTTATATGTGCATGTGTCATTATATATATGTTTGTATATTTGGTATGTCCAGAAAGTCTTTGGTGTAGTTTGAAACTTCAATAAATTTAGAAGTATAAATGCTGTTATTCAGTCATTTTCAGTTGTGTTTGACTCTTCGTGACTTCTTTTGGAATTTTCCAAAGAATGGGGTTTTGATGTATACATGACGATTTTGATATGACCACAGAAGAAAAAGTCTAATGGAGATCAGGTGACTGAGATAAAAATGGAGGTAAAGCAAGTGGCCAAGCAAGAGATGGACCTCTACTGATCCACCAGTCTGAGAAAATGGTATCCAGAAGCTGTTGCACGTTCATTACATAATGACAGGATGCTCTATATTGTTATAAAATTAATTATTCAAAACTACAAGAAATTTAAATAAACTTTAAGGTATCTTTTTTGTAAGTTTGTGGCATGTATACTTCTAAAGTTACCAAAGCTTAAAACTGCACTAAGACTTTTGAGACATTCTGCATAATGTCCATCTTAGTGTTATATGGAATAATTAACCCAGACCTTTTACCTGGTGTTTGAAGGAATCGCTTGAATCTTTTCACATACATTGCCAGCACGTTAGCATCTAGCTTCAGGTTGAACACCATCTAGTCATTCCTTTAGCGAGATGGTCTTTGCCACATTCTAGTCAACTCTAATTATCTAGTTTTTCTTGTTGAAATCTTACTCTCTCTAACTTCTACACATGAGTCCTAATTTTTCCTTTTAGAACAACATTGAATGAATAAAGCATTAAGTGCATACTTATATGCAAGCATTGTACTATGAGTTGGAGATACAAAGAGAAAAACCAGATAGTCCCTCCTCTCAAACTCTCGGTTCTAATGGAGAGAGGGGAAGTATGATCCCTCTTCTATGTGAAAGTCCTTCATACATATACATACACATACACATACACATACACATACACATACACATACACATACATACATATACATATGCATATACATACGCATACACATACGCATACACATATACACACATACATATACATACCTATACATATACACATATATGTACATATACATATATACACACACACATACACACATGGAAATAGCCAAAATCCTTTCCTTAACTCCCTTCCCTACCCGCATTTTAGTTATTATCTTCTCTAGGTTAAATATTCATAGTTTTTTTAACTAAACTTTATGTGACATAATTAGACATGGTCATGTTGGATGCATTGCAATTTGTGCTTAGAACATGTTCCACTTTTTTAATATCTTTAGTAAAATGTAAGAGGCAACGTATAGTGGAAAGAGCACTTGATTTGGAGTCAGACCTTGGTTCAAGACTTGGTTCTACTATTTATAGAAACGTGTCCCTTAACCTCTCCTTAAATTGTCCATATTAACAGGAACAAGTCATTTAACCTCTCTGTACCTTAGTTTCCTCATTTAAAAATATAAATAATACTCATTTTCCTGTTATTATAATCATAGCCATTTAAACTACTTCAGAGTGGAATCAGCTGCCTCCTGAGGTGTAGTGAGGAAATTGGTTAGGTAAGGGCTGGACTCAATGACTTCAGAGGTCCCTTCCCACTCTTAGATTCTGTGATACTTCTACTCTTAACTTGGAGATTTTTGGGAGTTCAAATGATAATGTGTGTAAACTGTAATTGTTCCAGATATCTGACTAGTGTGTTTTCTTTGTGGGATCAGATTACCCTCTCCATTTTTCAATATTTCTGTAATGTAGCCTAAGAAGGCACTGAATCATTTGGCAGTTATGGCATATATAGTTGTCTCATACTACTGAATTTTTAGTCAACCAAGTCCTGTCTTGTGTTTGTGCAGTTTATTCCCTTAAAAACACAGGAATTTAACATGTATCCTCATTAAATTTCTTCTTGTTAGGTTTGACCTTTTATCTCAGTCTGTCAAAATATTTTTTGAATACTGATTTCTGCCAGAGTTGTAGAGCTGGAAGGGACCTGGGAGGTCATTCAGTTTAATGCCTTTATTTAGAGAAGTTCATTGATTTGATTTGCCCAGGATCACATAAATAAGTTCCTGAAGCTGGGATATTAGTTATCCTTCTCAGTTTTAAGTTAATTGAAGATTTTATAATCATGATGAATATACAGATTGGTGAAATATGTCCTTTGTGTGAATTCAGTGAAGTGTTAGTACTTTCTACCCTGAACCCATTTGAATTCTTTCTTTAAATTAATGATTGTAATCATGTAGAGTAGTGATAGTTTTTGCCTTTTGGTCCTTTGAGGCACTTTAGCTTAAAAAAAAAAAACAACGAATTTTCCTTCATGCTTTATGCAAATTGGCCAGCCACCTTGCAACCTTTTAAAAGTTGTTTCCTAGTCATCCAGAGTTGTTATGCTTCTTTTGTTTCTGACTCAGTAAATAGTTCTTATCTATTCTTGCCCCTGCCCTGGAAATACTCCATTTTAACTCATTATATTTCATGGCTCTTCTGATTTACACGTTCTTTACCCATGCCCATCCCAGTGTAGTTGGGGTGGATGAGTATTGCTTCATAGCCTACTAGATTGGCTACATTCCAAGATGTTGTTAATTATATTATTAGATTACTTGGCTCTGCACCAGTACTGTGAAGGGTAGCTTGCACGTAATTTGTCATCATGGCGGTGGCAGTAATGAATCCATTTATATAAAACATAATTTTTCTGCTCATTCTGGGACATTTCCTCAGTGGAAATTTTGCATTTTACCAAACTGCTGTTTTACCTTTCCTCTGCCTCATGTTGACACTGCTGCTGTTATCATCATTTAATTTGCTTCAAATTTTTATTGCTTCTCTTGAGTGTTAAGTCCTTTCTGTACTTAGAAGGATGAGAACAGGAAACTTTATGGAATAGTTTTCAGACTAAAATCTTACATTCTTTGCTTTGTCGTTGATAATGTTTTATGATCATATTGTTTAAACTTTAAGTTGTCTCTTTGGTTTCTAAGTACTTTTAAGTTTTTAATTAGATGAGATATATTATATTATGGAAACCTATAAAAAGATTTTCTCTTAGGAATAACTTTCAAGGTTTTTTGACATCTAAAATTCATTTTAAAGATTGCCGGAATACAGTTTGGAAGGGCTCTGCTTTTGCTGCTCTTCATAGAGGAAGGCCACCTGAAATGCCTGTAAATTATGGTTCACCACCAAACCTTGGTAAGTTTATCTTTCAGCCATTTGTTGAATTCCTTGATAAATTTGGATACATATAAACACACATGCATACATATATGTGTCATATCTATATATGTATGTTAAGATCAATATAAGATTAATTTTTTAATAGTTGAAAACTGGCATTTTAAAGACAGTCTGATCGTTCTTATCTGAACAAGACAAAGGAGGGTTGAATACATACACACATGTTAATACAGAAATACATTAAATTCACCAAGGAAAGAAGTGGGAGAAAAGGATTTAAAACTAGGATAAATTGAGAAAGGAGTGGGAACAGATCAATTCAGTTACAGATTGCTAGTGTTCATATATCTTCACTTTCACTACCTCTTCCTTTTTAAAGAGAGGGGCAAAGAAAGGAAAAAAATAAGGAAGACAACTTAGAAAGACTTAAGAACTCTAACCAAAGCAGCAACCAGTCACTGTAGAGTATGGGATAATAATGGAATACGCTTCCCATAACTTGGCAAAGAGGTGATGGACTGGAGGGGATGATATGACTTGTACTATCAATGTTGGCCAATTTATGGGTTTGTTTTGCTTGATGGTACTTATTTTGGTAATAAAAAGGGCCTCTCCCTTCTTCCCCCTAATGGGGCCAAGTAGGAAGGGACTTAGGGAGGGTTGTAGAAGAATAGTGATAGTGATGCCAAAAAGGAAGACAACGAAGAGTATCAATGGAACATTTTTTAAAAGACCCAGAAGAGAGCAGAAGGGGGACAGAGACAGGTAAGTTGGTGTTGGTACCCTATCTTGTTAAATTTAACATATAGTTTTAAAAATCTTTACTCTTTATTGTATTTGGAATTGCCTGACAAAAAAGAATAAAAGTAATTATAAGAGGTGTGGTCTCATCATTAGTACTATAAATGTTTTATATTTTAAAATTTTATATTGATACTTTTATTTTTACATTTCAGTCCTTGACCAGTATCCCTCCCCACTCTACCCCACCATAGACACTGCCCATTCAGTATATCTTTGAATCCTCTCAATTGCTTGATGGTAACAGAAAAAAAAAAGTTACATAAGACAAATTAACACTCTTTGACTCTCAGACAGCATATGCAATATTTTATGTCATTAGTTTTCTTTTTTATCTTCTGAGAAAGGGGAAGTGTTTCATCATTTGTTCTCTGAGGCTGGTCATTATGTTTTTGGTTTTTTCAAGCACGAAAAGACCCGAACTATACCCTAATGCCCTAGTAATAATCAACTTTATGATGGATGGTGTATTTTTATGACTTTTGAACTATTTGGTTGTTATGTCTTGTAACGTAGTAGTTGGAAAGAAAGTTGATTGCCTCTGGTTTAAAAGTTGAAGAGTTTGTGCAAATAAGGAGACTGTTTTAAGGTAAATATTCCCAATTTTGATGTTTTTGCTTTTTGATGAGGCAATCAAAGTTAAGTGCCTTGCCCAGGGTCACACGGCTAGTAAGTGTCAAGTGTCTGAAGCCAGATTTGAATTTTGATATTTTTCCTAAATTTTTGTATGTCACTGGAGGTAAAATGGTGTACTATTGATTACATAAAATTAAAAAGTTTTACACAAATTAAACCATTGTAGCCAAAGAAGAAAATTAGGAAACTGGAGGAAAATTTTTGCGAGATATTTTTCTTACAGAGGTTTCATTTTTCAAATATATAAGGAACTGATCCAAATTTATAAGAATAAGAGTCATTCACCAGTTGGTAAATAGTTGAGATACGAACAGACATGTTTTCAGAGGAAGGAATCAAAGCTATCAATAGCTATATGAAAAGATGCTGTTAAGTCACTAATAATTAGAGAAATGCAAATTAAACCAACTCTGAGGTACCTCACACCCATGAGATGGGCTAAAATAACAGAAAAATAAAATGATAAATGCTAGAGGGGGTGTGGGAAAATACAATTCCACTGTTGTTTGGTTTGTGTGAACTAATTCAGCATTTCTGGAGAACAATTTGGAATTTCACCCAAAGGGCTGTAAAATTTTGTATGCTCGTTGACCCACCTATACTATTTCCAGGTCTATATCCCAAAGAGAGCAAAGGAAAGTGAAAAGGTCCCATATTTACAAAAATATTTATACCGGTTCTTTTTGTGGTGGCAAAGAATTGGAAATTGAAAGGGTGCCCATCAGGTGGGGAATGACTGAACAAAGAATAGCATATGAATGTGATGGGATACTGTTGTGCTGTAAGAAATGATGCAGGGAAGATTTAAGAAAGATCTGAGAACATATATGAACTGCTGCAAAGTGAGCAGAAGCAAGAGAATAATTTACGCAGTAATAGCAGTATTATAAAGATTATCAACTGTGACAGACTTAGTACCTTCAATCAACACAGTGATCTACCTCATTTTCAAAGGATTCATGATGAAACACTGTCCGCTTCCAGATAGAGAACTGATGGGATCAGATTGTAGAGATCAGACCATATTTTTTTCCTCTCGTTTTTGTCCCTCCCCTTTCCTTCCCTCAAAATGGCTAACGTGGAAATTTGTTTTGCATTACTTCATATGTGTAATGGATATTGTATTCTTGCTTTCTTAGTAGATGGGGGAGGGTATAGAGGAAGGCACAGAATTCAGAACTGAAAATAAAAGAGAATTTAAAAAGTAAATTTTTGTATGTAAGACTTACCCTTAACCATTTTAATTGTTTTATTTTGTAGTGGAGATAAATCGTGCAAAACAACTTACAGGATGTGCCTCATTTAGCATGGCATTTCCAGGAAGTATGTATCAACATATAAAAATGCACAGGAGGATTCTGGGACATCTCTCTGCTGTTTACTGTGTTGCATTTGATAGAACAGGGCACAGGATCTTTACTGTGAGTTAATATTGTAAACTTAATGTCTTACCTTCTATTAAAAATTTACTAATTGAGAAGGGCAAGAAAAAAATTTTTAATTGTATATAACAGTTTGGAATTCTGTTAATTAAACTTTCCAGGTCTTTAAAGGAAAACTGAAGTGGGCATATTTATATCTGAGTTTAGGTATGTCTGATGCTTTTTAAAAATTATATTGGGTTGAATTTTAGGGAATAAAAGTGGCTGATACTCTAAATTGGAGATTAGTGGACCAATTAAAGTGAAGGGGCTATTTATTTTTTAGATGATTTATTCATTTTATTACAGAAAGGAAATTTAAGATATTGATCATCTAGACAGTTCCCACCTTCAGATAAGTAAAAATATAGCAGCACCTTTTTTTTTTTTTTTAACTGATGAAGTTACTGAAGTCTAGGGAGATGAACTTTAAAGCAAGACTTAGCCACTCAATTTCAGTCTGCAAAATATGGATCAAATCTTGTTAAAAAACAAACTTGGAATTCTTTAGCTTTACTGGAACTTGCCATTCACTATCCGAAATAAGTGGGGCACAGAGTGGACAAATTTCAGAGAGTCCATAGACTTAGATAGAGAACACTTACATTTCCATTTTAACTAACTTCTAACTGAAATTTAGTTTTCCCTTTGGTTATGAATGTAGGTAGCACATATTATACTGAGAATGGGTTCATGGGTTTCATTCCTATGCCAAATGAGTCACACAAAAAAGATGAATAACTCTTGTCTTAGGACTTGGAATTTTTTGGTAACATTATGCTGACAATAAGATTTGACCTATTAATGTTACATCCTGTGCTGGATATTGTGGTGGGTGAAAGATAAAATGACTGAAGAAACAACGGTTCAGTCTTCCAAGAAAATTTATTAAGCAGTACATGCCAGTTGCCTAATGAAGTGGGACCAGACCTACTCAGCTTAGGTCTGGACCCTGAATACAGGAGGAGACAGACTTTATACATTAGAAACGATTAATCAAATAAGAAAATAATACAATATTAGGTAATCTGATTTCTAATTAGGTGAAAGATTAGGGATTTTCCAAGTTGGAAGGGGGAGAACGAACAGATGCAATTCCCTGAATTCAGAGAGGTGTTCCACTTCTCTCCAAGTGTCTGTGAACAATCAAAGAAACATGGAAACAATAACTGATTGGTCAGTATAGGTATAGTGTTTAGAGAAGACTTATGGGTTGCTTGAGACGTACAGTTGTGAGAAAACTCCTTGCATCGGTCTTTAGATCTGACCAGCTTTCTGGTCAGCATAACCTAGGTCTTCAAGGGTCTTTAAACAGCAGACAGAAGTAGTTCAGTTTCCCAGTCAAACAGGCCTAGGTTCAAACAATGCAATAAGGTTTTCTTTCAATTTCCACAATTGAATAAAATTTTCTCACAGGACAGAATTTGATCTGGACCCATAACTGAATAGAAAGGAAGCTGAGCTAGCTCCAAAATTGAGGCACAAGATAGAGTCAGTGTGGTTTTACTCAATTACCACAGTTTTACCACTTGCATTTACCTAATGTCTTCAGTTCCCTCAGTACTAATCTAGAATCCCTGAAGAGCTATGAACCATGTAGAAGAAAAATATCATGGCTCTAGTAATCTTTATCTATTCAGTGATACTCAAGTTTCACTATTTGACATGCTGTTTTGAGAGGCAATTAATTTTAAGAGGTTGAGGGAGAGAAATAATTATATATTTAATTTTATAAACAAATGATTTCTTTTAAAATGACTTAACTTAATTTGCTAATTTGAATTGATACATTTACTTTGGGGACTTTTTTTTAGGGTTCAGATGATTGTTTGGTAAAGATATGGTCTACACATAATGGCAGATTGTTAGCCACATTAAGAGGCCATTCTGCAGAAATTTCTGATATGGCTGTGAACTATGAAAATACTATGATTGCTGCAGGAAGTTGTGATAAAATAATTAGAGTGTGGTGCTTGAGAACTTGTGCCCCAGTTGCTGTGCTTCAGGGACACACTGGCTCAATTACATCTTTGCAGGTAAAATTAAATGCCTTTGTTTTTGTATTATGTCTTTTTTTGCATGAGCATAGTAGTTGAATGTGATGCTTTTATAATCCAGCAGGGATGTGAAAGTATGTATTCTGTTAGGGCAGGGGGTCTTTCTCTTTTTATGTTTGTATTCCCAGCACATAGCTCAGCGCGTGGCACATAGTAGAGATTAATTAAATGCTTGTTGAATGAATAAATTATCATATGTGTGTATATTAAATTGAATTTGTTTTTTACTTATTTATATACATTTATTATACATAAATTTATTCATTTTAAATTTTATTATATGCACACACATATAATAAAATTAAAATTGAATAAATGCATAAATAAAATTACAAAGTCAATTAATAGATAAAAGTCAGGTGAATGGTTAAATATTTTTTCTGTTTTGTCACCCACCCCCTTTTAGTTCAGTAACCATTTTTTAAGTTTTCTCATTACTTTAAGAATTTAAATCTTTCTGAAAATTGGGAGTTTTGTTATTGAGGAAATTTAACTCATCATGATTCAGAAGGGTGGCACAAAATGGGTAACCAAATACCTTATGTAGAGTTGACACATAAGAAATTATGCCCAGATTTTATTAGGATATATTTCACTGCTATGAGGTCAATCAAGTCTGATCCTATTTCAAAATTAACATTTTTTTTTTCTAATTTAAATCTTCTGGATTTGGAAAAGCTGTTGGAAAATTTCCTCAAAAAAACTTTGACGTAGTTTCTATCAGATTGGTGTCAATGATTAAATGTTTTTTAACCCTAAGTCTGTAAGGGGTTATGATAGTGGTGTTTATTGGATCCCTGGCAAGTGGTATGGAATTGTGGAAAGAAGAGAATAGGAGTCAGAGGAGCCAAATTCCAAATCAGGGCTCTGCCACTTCTTACTTGTGAGACTTTGAACAAGTCTATTAATGTGTCTGTAAAATGAGGCGATTGGAATAGACTCTTCCCATTCTAAATCCTATTGACTCTGACCATTTGAATTGTTTTTCAGACATTTGCTTTGAAAGGTTCACATTTTATTTTCTAAAGTGATCAAGATGGATTTTCCTCTAAAGAAGTATAGAGTTTATTCCTATTTTTTGTAGGAAAGAACTTTGCTTTTAAATGACAGAAATCATTTTCATTTAAGTCAAAGAATATTAGAAAGTAAAATATTTTTGCTTGCTCTCAGGGAGTACAACTTTAATTACTGAAAAGCTTATACTTTTGGGGGAAGGAGCACATCTTTGAAGGTTCTTGCATTTATATTTTAATCCCAATTCTCACTTCCCATGATGTCCCTCCTTGTCAATTGACACGTATACATGGCAATATGATAAGAGTTTAAAATTCAGTGAGTCAGCAATTGTTTAAGTACCTAATGTGGCCATTTGCCAGGGGTACACAGACAATAGCAAATTAGTACCTTTCCTCAAGTAGCTCATATTGTCCTGAGTGGATACAAAGACTATAAGTAGAGAAGTAAGTCAAGCTGTTTATAAAATTGATTCAATCTTGATCCTCCCAAAGACTGAGTTCACAGAGACTGAGACCATTTGGGAGGCCTTTCCCTCAAAGGATCATTATTTTTCTTTGGCTCATCCACCCTATTTTGAGTATTCTAGGGAAGTCTCTAATTGGCCCCATGGTATAGCTTATGTCTAGGTTTCTCCCGATGTTGGTCACATGTCCCATAATTCCTGTGTAGGTTGGCGTTAGATAGCTTTTACTTCACTTTCACTGGAGACATTGGATTTAGAGGACTCACACATGAATTAATGCTAAAATATATCAAGCACTCAAATTAGCTTTTTCTGAAGGAAACTGAAATTGTTGCCATTGGGTTACCATGACAATTTAGTGAAATCTCATTCTCTCTCTCTCTCCCAAAGAGTTGGGTTATATACAGTCACTTCATGTTTTAGACTCTTCTAGAAGTAAACATACTTTAGGAGCTGCTGAAACAAGAATCGCCTTCCCATCAGACGTGCAGATATCCAAGTAAATTTTTTGCTTTGCTCTCCCAAGTAGGACACCACATTGGAACCATATAGGTGATCCTTTTCTTTGTCTAAGGCTTTACTAACCAAGGAAGATCCTGTTTAGGGGCTGTATAGATGATCCTGATCCTCTTTTTTCCTCCAAAAATGTATGCTGCATCCCGGTATCCTCTATTCTCGAGAGAAGGTCAATCCTGAAACTCTAACTTTGAAACTGTCCAATTTGGGGATACTCATGAAGCAACTCACAAAGCTGATGCTAACCTGTGAAATTCCCTTTACCTGCTAGGAGACTAAATTATTGAAGAACATGCTAACTCCATTTTTTGTCCTAGGGAGTTCATAATCCTTGAACTTTGAATCAGAAGATTTGAGTTTAGGAACAGTGTCCTTTAATTCCACTGTGAAGTGGTGTACAAGCACAGGTGCAAGCCATGTGTTTCTACTGTAAGTTGCTATTGTCTGCTCCTGAAATGGGAAGGAAGATTCTTGCCCTTAATCTTCTATTGTCATTTCTGTATGTCAGAAATGGGCATCATAAGAAGGACAAAGAAAAGAGCAAGTTAAGAAAGGACTGGACTTAACAATTTGCTTCTGTAGACAGTAGGGATCGGTGACTGATTCTCAGCCTTTCATGAGGAGGAAATCCAATTCTCTGGAGTCCAGTGATCATGACTCCAGTGGCATTCTCACATTCATACAGTTGGAGCTTTAAGTGAATTTGGAGGTCATCTACTCTAACTTCTTCATATTCCAAATGAAGAACTTCAGTGCTCGAGTTGAATGACTTGTCATTTGATGAAAATGTACCTTCAGTTGCCTACAAATCCTGTAGTTGCTCATGTTCTTCATTTTTATCATGACTGCCCTTTCCTACTTTTACATAAATCCAAAGTGATTTCACAAAGGAGAGACATTAATAACTGGGGAATTTAGGAAATGCCCTCTGAAGAAGGCCTCACTTAGCATTTATGGATGAAAATTAAAGGAGAGTAACAAACAGAAGAAAAGTTGAAAAGATCTGTAAAGCCCATGCTTTGACTCTAGCATTATAGTTTTAGATGTGTCCACAGACTAGGTAGAAATGGTGAGAGAAAAAAGATGGGAAAAGTACCTCAATTAGACCATATGTACATAAATAAGAACTGTGCTGGAGGTGACAGTTTTGAGAGTATTAAGCAATTGATTAATAAGATCCTATGATCATAGAGTTAGATCTGGAAGGGACCTCAGAACATTTAGTCCAACCCCCTCATTTAACAGATATGGGAAACTGAGGTGTGTCTGGGAAGAGGGGGAAATGACCTCCCCAAGGTCATGCGTATTCTGGATTTCAGAGGTGGGGTTAGCCCCTCATCCTCTGGCTATTGCATCACCCTTCTTTATCCTATACCATTTTCAAATAGGAAAGACAACAAAGGAATTGAAAAAATTCTTGGATTTTATATATACTGGAAAAGAAAGACAACCAAGGGAAAACAATGATTATATTGATCTATATGCCTATTTTTTCATTAGTTCAAAATATCTGAGACTCATCTACACGTGCATTGGAAATGTTTGTTTAGGGAATTGATTGTTGTTGTTCAATCGTGTCCAACTCTTTGTGACCCATAGCGCACTAATACTGACCATGGGGTTTTCTTGGCAAAAATACTGGGGTGGTTTGCCATTTCCTACTCCAGTGGATTAAGGCAAACAGATTAACTGACTAACTGACTTAGTTAGACTTAGATTAACTAACTAACTAACTAACTAACTGACTAACTGATCACGATGACTAGTAAATGTCTGAGGCAGAATTTGAACTCAGGTTTTCCTGACTGCAGGTTCAGTGTTCTAGCCACTGAGCCACCGAGCAGCCTAGGGTCTAGGGAACATTCAGTTTCTATAATAGGACTCATCTTTACCATCATGCAGTTGACTGAAAGACATAAAGAATATGGAATACAATTGTATTTATTATTTGACTATAAAAAACCATTTAACCAGTAAGCTCCTTGAGTGCAAGGCTTGTTTCGCTTTTTTTCTTTATATCACTAGCACCTGACATAGTGCCTGGCGCATCATAGCCACTTAACAAATACTTCATTTTGTATCAGCTGCTCTACTTGGTTTTGATTCCATGAACATCATCTCTCCCCCAGGATAAGTTTTTCACTTCAAATCTAATCATCATGGTGATTGATTCAGCTTTAATACTAAGTACGTCAGCACCCTCAATTGCCTCTCTTCTCTGGAGGGCAGAGCAATAAACTTCTCCCCACACTTCTCTTTATAGTGGGTTCAGAGTTTTTCTGCTAACTCTTCATTTACTATCAACTACTCTGCTTGATTTTGACTCCACAAACAACGTGGGTACCAGTAACTTCTGACAGCACCACCCCTCCCCCACATACTCTTTTCAGCTTCCTGCTGTGTTTTGTCTTTTCACATTACATTGTAAGCTTCATGAGGAGACAGAGATTGACCTTATTTGTATGCCTGTACTTAGCACAATGCCTGGCACATATTAGGTACTTAATGTTTATTGGCTGTTGATTAGTTAAATTAGTAAAACAACATTACCCCTTAAAGGCTTAATTCCATTGGTCTTCCAGCCACACATCAGAATCATTCCAGATTCTTTGAAAGCTATGAGCAAAGAGAGAACTTTATTCAGTGAGCCTCTGACCTATGCTTGCCAAATGTTCAGTGTGATGGAGGAAATCCAGGAACAGAATCCAGCCTGAAAAGGGATTTCCTGTGTGTGGTGCTCCTTTTTTGCAAGTGACATTTTGTTGGTTCTGGCATAGTGAGAACATTTGCAAAGTGTCTTAGATCTATAACCATTCAAAAGAGTTTGGCTTTACCATCCATCCACCTTTAAAAAAGAAAAAAAACTTAAATGACGGAAGAATGTTTATTGCCTATATTATGATAGAGTTTTCTGGACAACCTATAGAGGCTGTCATGTATCTAGAACAGATAATTCAAGTGGTCCATAATTAAACAGAGAGATGAAAACTTAGTGGATTGCTTTCAGAAAATTGCAAAGCTCCCTTAATAACCATTTCCCAGAACCAAAACTCATCATCTTAATCCTCATATTCTCCTATTGTTATATGGCTATGAGACATGGAATTCAATAGTGTTTGAAGAATTAAAAGTAAGTATCCCATAATAAAGTGTAGAAGCATATCATAGGTTATGAGCAGGCTCCGGTGTATACCAAATAAGCAACTTCACAGAAGAACAGGAGCAGAGGATGTCATCAGGGAAATTATGGTAGACAAGGAAGATGAATTAGCCCAGAGTTGAGGACACGGTGGACTTTCTGAGAGCTTCTTTGATTCCAGGAGAAAACAAGGAAGCTTTCTGACATGTTGGGTGGACACCTTATGGCAAATTTATGGCAGAACATGGACAAGAGTTATGCAAAGTAGGATTACCTGCATGGGTTGTGATTGACATCATTTGGGAGAACATCCAAATCAATGAGAGCACAGATGCATGTGAATATTTGTTCATTGAGTATGCACTGCTACCAGCTGAATATTTTAAAACATTGCCTTCAACTTATTCTGCTTTTCAAGAATGTGATAACTCTTTTTATTGCCTAATGCATCAGGTTCAAACTCCTCTGCCTAGTTTTCAGCATCTTCCATAATGTGGCCTATTCTCTCTCTTCAAGCTTATTTCTAACTATTTTCCAATACAAACCTTCTCTTCATTCCAGTCAGGCAGGTTTCATTACTATCTCTACCCCACTAATTCCTAGTTTTTACCCGTTCAGTCCTTTGTATTTTTATTGCTCTCCTCCCTTTCTTCCTTTTATTCATAGCTTATTTTTCCTGTAAGCCCCAGCTGAAATCTTTTCTGTGCTATGGAATTTTCTTTCCATCCCACAATAACTTTTTCTCTTTTTTGTACCCAGTGTCTAGGCTGCACAATTGGCATTTTATTATCTTATCATTTTTATAAATATTTAACCTTTCCAATTAGATTATAAACTCTACATAGTTAAAGTGTCATATTATTTGTACTTTGGTATTCTGTTATATTTACCATAATTCTAGTCCTGAAGTATGCACTCAATATTCAATTTGGTGTTTTATGGGTATCTGGGACACAATAATTCTGGTACTTATTGCTGATAGCAAGTATGTCAGTTTGATGCCAAAATAAAAGAACAAGGATACAACCAGCTAAGTCAGTGCCCAATCTTTTGCTCTTATCTTTTCTGCTCCAGACACCAGAAACTCAATATGTTGTATAAGATTAGTTTGTGGGGGCATTTGTAAAAAGATTAGCATAACAGGAAAGCTTGAAGTTGTGTGTATTTTTCTAGGTAGTGGAAGTCATTACATTTTGAATTTTATCTGTGTTTGGGTTTTGTTTTATTTTTAAGCGTCCTTTCAACAATATTTGACTTTTTTGTTGATTGGTATTAAAAGCTTCAATTCTTCCAACATTTATTAAACACCTGCTATATTCAAGGTAGTGTGTGTGGTAGGCATTAGGGCTACAAAGACAAAAACTCTTAAGAGCTTATTTCCTCGTGGAATTTCATTTGAGTTCAACTTTGAAAAGTTAGTGTATCTTCCAAAATAAGTTATAATGAAGTTGCTGCTTTTTTTTTTTCAAGTAATGAAGTTATAGAAACTGAATGTGTGTGTTGTTGTCTATTTTAGTTTAGTCCAAAGGCTAATGGCTCTGAGAGATACATGGTGTCTACCGGTGCAGATGGGACAGTTTGCTTTTGGCAGTGGGACTTAAATTCCATGAAATTCAGGTTTGTGCATTAGTTAAAAGATGACTATACATCAATTTTTTCCTCATTGATATTACCAAAAGAGGCAAGATAGAGTGTTGGACTTGATGTTTGGAAATCTCAGATTCAAATCGTGCCTTAGACACTAAGAGATGTGACTGTGGGCAAGTTACTAGAAGCCCTTCAGTTTCCTCATCTGTAAAATGAGGGAGTTGGATTTGATGGCCTGTAAGATCCCTTCCAGTACTAAATCTGTGGTCTGATGATTCTATGATATTGTCCTAATTGATTGGAGATAGTTGTAAGTGGGACTGTATGGGTGCCCTTCTATTAATCCCTAAATTCTAAAATTTCAGTTTTGTCCTTTCATACATTGCCTATACCAAATTAAATGGCCTTTTCTGTAGACTTAATGTTAGGAAGCTTTGTTTGTTGGCACAAACATTTGTATTGTTTTAGAAGGAAATACTTTTAGAGCCCAGGTTTTTATTTAAGCATATTAAAGTTATGATAGTAAATATCAGTGTGCTAATTTAATTTTTTAACGTTTTTATTTTTTAAAAGTAATCGTCCTTTGAAATTCACTGAAAAGCCTAGACCAGGGGTTCAAATGCTTTGTTCATCTTTTAGTGTTGGTAAGGTAACTTAATTTTAATATACTTTTTTGTTAACTTACGTTAATGACTTTTAATTTTTAATTTTTAACCTATTCATTGAATGCCCCTGGTGTGCTAGACTGTGGGAAATTGTGATATATATCTGTGTATTTAATTTCTACTTAAAACTCTTCTCTTTTTTTTTTTACCTTTGTGCCATAATAGTGGCATCATAACTGGTGGAGGAATGAGAAAGATTAGCTTATTTTCTTCTCTACTGCCAAAAAAATGAGACTAGACTAACTCAGAAGGGAAGTGCTCCATAGTTACGAGGAAATAATTAAATGACATATTATGCCAAAGTTAGGTTTCATTTGACTGTGACCTTTTATTTGAAACTGTTTGTGATGAGCTACAAAATTTTTTTGTAATATAATTTATTCCCTTCCACACCAAAAACTATTTGAGTAGTCTTCTATTTCTTCATACTAAACATCATGTTTTATTAACTGTTAGCTTCTTGGGACAGCTTGAAGAAACCTTGAATTTTTTTTTTTTCTATGTAGGTTTTTTTTTTTTTTAATAATACTCTGGGACTTGAAACAACTAGTCAGAATGTGTGCTTAGCTTAAATACACACTAAAATTCAGACAGGTGACTCCTATCTTTAGAAATTAGTCTTTTTGCCCCACAATTTCAAAGAAGGAACTTATGCAATTATCACCAAAAACTATAGAATAATTGATAAGGATGGTAAATATTTTCAGATCCCATTAACTTTTTTAGTTTGTAGTGCATGATTGATTTTTTTTAAATGCTAGCAATTAAAAATTGTGAGAAATTCTATTTGTTTGAAAGTGGATCTGAGAAAGTTTTGTGAGTTTTAGAAAAACTCTTGATAAGAATTTGATGTGGGAGTTTTTGTAATGTATATTAATAAGTATTACTAAAACTTAAATGTATTTCAGTGTTTTGTGATTTTGATTTTCAGGTGGCATGTTCTTAGCAACAGGTAGTACTGATCATGTAATCAGAATGTATTTTTTGGGCTTCGAAATGCCTGAAAAAATAGCGGAACTCGAAAGTCACACTGTAAGTACTATTTGTGTTTTTAAATATATGCATTAATTTATTCAGAATATTAGTAAGTATTCAGATTTTTGCTCATCTGGCCATAGAGCTGCTTTTCATTACACATCATTTTGAGATTTTACGCATTAAGGTAGTAGAGACATTAAGGTAATTTTTCCATTGAAGTTTAATTTTTGGAATAAGTTATAATTTCATTTTTAAAAGTCTTAGATTATTATTTTAGCTAATTATAAATGTCCATTCTTTATAGGCCCTTATTAAACATAAGTGTGTGAGTTTGATCCATTTGTAAGTACTTAGTATCATGCTTTCTCTAGATCAACTGTAGTTAGTAAAGGGAAAACTCACTTGCCTGTATTTTATAATTCTTGCTTCTGCTCTTTATTACTGTAACTAAGAGGCAGAATTCTTATAGATACTAAGTCATAAAAGTGGAAGAGATTCTTGAGTTTTCAAATATTCTTCTTACACTGGATTATTTTGGAAGTCACATGAGGAAAATACTTATTTGAATGAAAAGTTGAATAATTTGAATACTTTTTCTTTTTGTAGGACAAAGTCGATAGCATCCAGTTTTCTAACAATGGTGATCGGTATGTTTTTTAAAAAAATTAAACTTTCAACTAGATATTTATTTGCATATGTGTGTGTGTACACATATGCATATATGTGCACTATATTTTTAAATATAATAAAATCTAGGCTAGCCATCATGGAATTTGCTTAATTTATTAATTTACTGTCTTTGTCTTTGACTAAAAATTAAGTTCTTCTAAGATCTTACGTACTTTTGTGTCTTCTCTTCTACCTTCTTTTACTCCTTACTCTATCCTATTGGCTGCTATCAGCAATCTTAGTGAAGGGCTTATTTACATATATAGTCACATTTGTTATATTTCAAATATTTATAGGTTTATTCATTTTTATAATCATATTTTCTTAATATCTAGACTTTTGGGACACCCTGTATTTATTTTTTCCTAGTTAGTATTTGCATTTTTCAGCAAATTTATCTTGAGCTTTTTAATATATATCTTGACTGTTTAAATTTTATTTTAATTTTTTATGCCATAATTTCTCCAAGGAATTGTGTTTTCCTCTAACTGGGACTTATTTAACCTTTTTTTTTAAAGGTGAAGAAAATGAGCTTCCATAGATACAACAATCAGTTTGGGTTAATTAGGAAAGATTTCAGGAGAAAATATCACTTAAGATAATCCTTGAAAGATTAATAAGATTTTTTACAAGTGACAATGGAGAACAGGGTTTTTGAGCCATAGGAAATTGTGTAAATTAAGGTATGACAGTGGAAAAGCTTAGGACTTATTTGGAGAACATTGAATAATCCAGTTTGGTTGTATAGCACAGAGAATGGGAAGGTGAAATAGACAGGAAGGGTATATTGGAGCCAGCTAATAGTACAAAGCCAGTGTAAGACATTTATCTATAAAAAGGTAGCCAATAGGAAGCCATTGGAGACTTAAAGGTGGAGGGACAAGAACAGACCTGTGTATTTTGAAGACTAGAGATAGGGAGACCAGTAAGTAGACTGTTATGGTGGCACTGGCAGTGATGAGAAAGAAATGGATGAGAAACAGTGCATGAAAATGGTATAAACAGTATCTGTTGACTAGATGTTTAGGAAGGATAAAGATGAGTCAAAGGTTTCTCTGAAGTTAAGAGCACAGGTAATAGAATACACATGGGATGGCAATTGAATCAGGAGGAAGAGCAGTTTAATGGGAAAGATGAGTTTACTTTTAGGTATACTGAGTATTTTAGGTGAGAGTGGGATGAGAAATTATATAGAGTGCTTGAGGAACGCCAGAGTGCTTTGTGTGTGTCAGGTGGTTTTGTCATTACACCAAATAGGCAGTTAAAAATGGTAGTCTAGAGTTCAGATCTGTAGTCATCTACATAGAAGTGATATTTGAAGCTCTGGAAATAAATGAGATCATTAAAATAGAGGTTAAAAAAAGGGAGGGGCAGCTATGTGGCACAGTGGATAGAGTACCGACCCTGAAGTCAGGAGGACCTGAGTTCAAATCCGACCTCAGACCAAACACTTGACACTTAATAGCTATGTGACCCTGCACAAATCACTTAACCCCAATTGCCTAAAAGTTTAAAAAAAAAAAAAAAAAGAGGAGAGCCAAAGACAACACCGTGGGGAATGCCTGTTACAATGTTAGGAAAAGAAAAGGTTATTTTAACAGCTTTTATATGAAAGAAGAATAGTAGCTTGAAGAAATATTAGGTTTAAGAGAAGATTCTCCCCACTTCAACCCATTCAGCCACTAAAGTGATTTTCCTAAAGCACAGGTTTGATCATATCACTCTCCTACTCAGTAAACTCCAGTGACTCCTTCTTGCCCCCAGGATCAAATACAAAATGCTGTTTTTGGCATTTGAACCCCTTCATAATAAGCCCTAGCCCTCTTCTACCTTTCTAGTCTTCTTATACTTGACTTATTTCCATATACCCTTCGATCCAATAACACTGGTGTCCTGGATGTATCACAAAGGAGACACTCCATCTCTAGACTCCGGACGTTTTCTCTGACAATCTCCCATGCTTAGAATGGTCTCCCTCCTCAGCTTGCTTTCTGACTTCCTGGTTTCCTTTAAGCCCCTACAAAAATCCCATCTTTTATAGGAAGCCTTTCCCAAACCCTCTTAATTCCAGTACTTTCCCTCTGTCAGTTATTTCCTGTTTCCTGTATATAGCTTGCTTGTTGTCTCCCCTATTAGATTGTAGGCTTCTTGAGGGTAGGGGCTGTCTTTTAACACAGTGCCTGACATGGAGTAGATGCTTAAAATGTTTATTGATTGATTGATTTTAAGTTAAGGGAGGCAGAAAGGAAGGAATACTTAGCAAGGGAGAGAAATAACATTTAGAAGAGACTTATTGAGTGATGGTAGTATAAGTAGGGGTGAGAGGTTATCTGGGTAGGAGAATTAACTTCTATTCACTAAGGAAAATTAAAAGTACAGTTAGGAAATTGAAGAGAAATGAATAGTCACTGTTGGTAATTCATGCATGCAAAGCACTGTGGTAAGTACTAAGTGTACAAAGAAAAATAAGACAGTCCTTGCTCTCATTGTAATGGGGAAGATAACACATGTGGAAGGCTTTAGCTACAAATCAGGTAGAAAGGTCCCATGTTCTTAGCAGATGCTGATGCTTCTCATTTAATGTCATTACACTAAAAAATCACGTCATTTTTTTATGTTGAACCATTTGAGAGTGCCAAGGACTTTAGTGGCAAGAACTTTCTTTTCTGGATCTTCAGGTTTTGGCTTTAGCTGAAGCTGTTGCCAGGCTGTATCTCCACTGGAGTGGCCACCTAGAATAATGGTTGAAGGCACTGCCACTCCCATGGCTCTTGGGTCCAGGATCTCGGGCTGTCTGTAGCAGAATCTAAAAGATGTTAGTCAAGCTGATGGTAGTGGTCTGTCTTACCTGGCATATACTGCCTCTTATTTATCCCTGTGGGTGGTTTTCTGTTTTAGCTAGAAATGACAGCAAATAAAAAGATTGCTGAATTCTAGCTAAGGTTGTGTTGCATAAATCTGTGATTAATAAGTTCCAGGAGGTTTTTGTGAATATATCTAGCAGCAATTGGCAGCCTAGAACATAGATAGGAAGCTCAGGATTACCTAGTGTTGGGAATTAGCTAGGTAATAATAGTAGAAAGCCAAAAAGGGTGAGGGATTTTATGGTAATCTTATTGACAATGATTAATTTGGACAGACTGGATACCAGGAAATAAGTAAAGATGGGTAATTAGCGGGTAATTAGCATGGAATCGTTATGTAACTGATTCTTAGAGTAGGAAGGGACTCAGAGGGCATTTAGTCCAGCTTGTACGTAAATGATGAATAGTTTCCCAGACAAGCAGTCAGTGCTGCCTTTTCTTGAAGACTTCTAAGCAAGAAAGAACATACTGTCTTTCTATTTTTAGATGGCTCTAACTCTTCTGAAGTTTTTCCTTACGTCAAGCCAAGGTGCCTTTTTGCAACTTCTACTCATTGTTACTTGTCCACTTTTCTACATTACAACCTTTCAGACACTTGGAGACAGTTGTCTTATCTTTTCATCTCCAGGCTACGCATCCCCAGTTAAGGATCAGTTGATCCTTATGTGACATGATCTTGATTCTGTCTTTCATCATTGTTGTCCTCCTCTGGATGTTCTTCATTTTATCAATGTCTTTGTTAATGTGGCACTCCGAACTGAGTATAGTACTGAGATCACTTCCCCTAGTCCTCTTAATGTAAAAAGTTGGATTAGTTGTTTTTTTAATTGCTATACCATATGGTTTATTCATATTGAGTATGTAGTTTGCTGAAACAGAATAGAAAAACCGGGGATCTTTTTCAGTTGAACCATTATGTATCAGTCTCCTTCATTTTCTACATAGGGGCTTGATATTTTGAACATTTGAGACCTTACATTTGTCCTTGATAAGTTAAGTTTCACCTTATTAGGTTCAGCTCAAGTTTTGTCAAAGTCCAGGTAAACTATATCAGTAATATTCCTGTGATCTACCAAGAAGCCATGTTAACTGAAAGCAGTAATGATCACTGCTTTCCTTTCCGAATGTTACCAAACCATCCCGTTAATAATGTATTATAGAATTTTGCAAAAAAGAGAAGTATTCATATTCCAATTTTACAAATGAGGAGGTGAGATTCAGAGGAGAGCATGACCTGTTCTTGGTGCTGGCTCTTTGTTATTACTACTTTTTTATTTTGAGCTTAATATCAGCAAATATTTCAATAAACAAAGAACAGGAAAGAATTGTATATGATACAGAAATAGGTGCAGTAGTACATACCTGTTATTGCTGCTACCAAAGAAGCTATCAGACCTTTTGAGCTCAGAAGGAATTATCTCGAAAAGAATATGCAGAATATTGGGTATTCACGCTGAGTCAGCATCAATATGATGAAACCCTGGTAGCTTGGGGAGCCATCAGGAAGGAGGGAGGGAAGAAAGGAAACAAAGCATAAACTTGGATGCAGGTTTTTAAAGTGTATATTAAACTTAAAACAGTAATAATAAAATTGTCATGCTTCTGTTTCCATTTACAAACTTCCTTTTGCTGTCTTCTGTGTATTTTAAAAATATTTTATTGATGCTTTTTTCCATCATTTTTATTACCCACCAACTCTGCTCCCCCCCATAGAAGCCTCCTCTATACCCAATAAATTTAATCAAGCAAAAAGAAATCATTAGCTATGTACATGTAGTTCTATATACAACCATTCATCAGTCTCCAGCAACCATGACTGTTCACTTCTTTGATCAGAGTTTGAAGTGTTTCAGAGTTATTTTCCTTTACATTATTATGGTCATCATAGAAATTAATTGTCCTCTGGTTGTGCTTAATAATTTTGTAATAAGTCTTCCCAGATTTCTTTGGCTCTATCTTTCATAATTTTTTATGTAATAATATTCCATTACATTTCTATACCAAAAATTATTCAGCCATGACCTAATTGTTGTCTCCAGTTCTTTGATGCAACAACAAATAGATCTTAATTTTGCAATTATCATTGATGTTCGCTATTTCTTTATTAACGTATTCTAAAAAAAATTTTCAGGAACCAGAGTCAAGTTCACTAGACTATAATTTGCAGACTTTGTATAGAAGTTGGGTTGTTTACCCTTCAGTTTTGTAGCCCTTTTCCCATTTTTCCATTTTAAGGAACAGTGACAAGTTAAAAGATCATAGCCTCCAGTCCTTTTAGTATTCTTTCTTAAATAGAATGTGATTTTGCCCTTTTCCCTCTTTTTCTTTAACCTTTTCTGTTTCTTTTGAATAAGGCTTACTCTTTCAGCCACTTCTAATCATCAGCCTCATTCCATCAAATATCACTAATATTTGATGATGTCAGATTAATCTAATTGCATTAATATCGTCAGGTCACCATATTTGTTATTCTTATTTTGTTCATTTACATATAGAGACTCAGAATCTGGATAGTATTGTTGGATCTTCTCTTGGATTTTTGTCTCTGATAATTTCTTGCTGTCTCTGTTGCTATACTTAGGCAGCTAAGTGGCATAACAGCTAAAGCACCAGGCCTGGAGTTAGGAAGACCTGAGTTCAAATGTGACCTCAAACACTTACTCGATGTGTGATTCTGGGCAAGTCACTTAACCTCTGTTTGCCTCCAGGGTTGTTATGAGGATCAAATGAGATAATAATTGTAAATAAGCACTTAGCACAGTGGCTGGCACGTAGTAAGCACTATATAAATGTTGGCTGTTGTAGCTACTACTGTCTATAATAGCTATTGCCTTACATAGGCAATTTCCTCCCTTCTTTTTGCTTTTTAAAGCCCTTTGGTTACATCTGCAAGAGCAGAGAAGTACATTGTAACCAGCCTTCATTAGTTACATCCCTCTCTATTGAGGATCATATTTTTAAACCATAGTCCAGAAATCCAAATCTCTATTCTCAGACAAAATCTTCTTAACTATTTATTTACTTCTCTCATTTGCCTTGACTTTGATTGTTGAAAACACTGCCTCTACTCTTTAGGTCTTCAGATTTTTAGCTAAGCCATGATGATCTTTATTAATATTATCTAAATTTCTTCTGGCAGTGTCATTTATGCCTACAAAAAGCACCAGGAATATGCAGTAATCAGTTTTGACAAGATTTAGGAGGTTCTTCATTACACTTTGGAAACATTCTTCAGGAACTTAGCATATCTTGATGTTTTGTGTATTTTAAAAGAGTGAGGAGCTGAAAGGAACATAGATTTTGATGAAAATAAAGATTTGGTAGTTAGAGATCTAGATTAGGGAATTCAAGACTATGAGACAAGGATAAAATTAGTGTTGTGAAGTGGTAGAATGGAGCATCGATTCTGTAGTCAGATGACTTGGATTCAAAATTCTGCCTCTGATGATTAATACCTATATGATATTGGGCAGATCACTGAATTTGCCAGAGCTTCAGTTTTCTAATCTGTAAAATCTTGGTAGAACAGAAAAACTGGGGATCTTTTTCCATTGAACCATTATGTAGCAGTCTGCTTCATTTTGTACATAGGAGCTTGAGGCAGAAAACTGTTTTAGGGAGATGGCTAGATCCAGGTTAGAGCAAAGGTGATATTGTATAGCATAAATTTTATTTGTAAAATTTCAAAAATTGTATTTAAATATTTTGTTTTGACTTTGTTTAATTTGATATTGTTTCAGCACTTCCTAACAAATACCAAACAGTCCTCCCCTGAAAAAGTACATTCTCCAAAGAACAGTTGATATGTTGATTACCAACGAAAAGGATGTGTATGTGTGTACTTTAACTTTGAAAATATGGTATAACATTGACCACTGAATTTTTTGTTTGCTCTGTATTGCCTAGATTTACAATGTGTATATGTACATTATGTATATTCTTTTGGTTCTACTTTCTTTGCTCTGCATAATATTATGCATATCTTCCCATGTTTTTTGAAACCTTTTTTGTCATTACTCCTTTAAGGAGAAATAACATTGTCACATTCATGTCATAATTTGTACAGCTATTCCCCAATCCTTGTTGCGTTTATTTTAGTTTTAGCTTTTTGTTTTCTCAAATAGTACTGTTATGAGTATTAATATACATGTGGGTGTGAGTCTTGCTGTCTGTTTAGTAACCTCCTTAGAGAGTAGGTCTAGCAGTGTAATATCTGAGACAGTGAGTATGCACAATTTGATTTAGAAACTTTTCTAGCATAATTCTAAATTCTTTTCCAGAATGGCTGAAACATTCATAGCTATATCAATAATGAGGTAGATTGTGGTCACTTGAATTTTAAAGGAGTAGTGGTTCAGTAGCAATACAACTTTTTATTTTTGGTGAGGTTTAATGCAATTTTGCTCTCAAATTTAAGGGAAAAAAAGATTCTTGAGATATGGTGGAAAGAAGGAAGAAAGATAATGTGGTATAACTGAAAGAGTATTTTTTGGAAGCCTCGAACATAGTTTCAAGCTCCAGCTGTGCTAGATATTATTTAAAAGAACTTTGGAAAATCACTTTGTCGCCCTAGCCTTGGTTTTTTTTTTTTTTTTAACCTGTAAAGTGAGGGAGTGGAGTGGATGATTTCTGCGATCTCATCTGACTCTACATCTGTAGCCCTGTGAAAATAATTTTGCATTTGTGCTATTAACTACTTGCAATACTTCTTTAGGGTGGTTTTAAGTGATTGCAAATTTTGGTAGGCAGAGTAGTGCAGTAGAAAGAACCCCGTAATATAAACCCTTGAAGATAGAGATTGTTTCAGTTTTCTCCTTGCATTACATTGCCTAACAAACTGCCTGAAACGTGATTAATGCTTCATTTCTGCTTGATTGGTGTATTCTAGTCCTGGCCCCTTACTATTGCTTCTTTACTATTTGTGGGATGTTGGTCAAGACTTTATCTCCTATGGCTCATTATGTAAAATGGGAGAGTGGACCTTCCAGCTCTAAATCTATCTTCCTATGATCTTCAGTGTAATGAAAATTTACTCTCAAATATGTGGGTATAATACCTTTCTTAATATTTATTTTTAGCTTCTTAAGTGGTAGCAGAGATGGAACAGCAAGAATTTGGAAATTTGAGCAGCCAGAATGGAAGAGTATTTTGCTGGATATGGCAACAAGATTGTCATGGTAAGTTGGGGGTGACTTATTGATTAGATAGGGGAAATGATTGGTTTATAGAGATTACGAATTTGTGTTTTATTTAAAGGGATTGCTAGGGTACTTCCTTTATAGGCTAAGTTTTATTAAATTAATTATTATATTCATAAATTTGCCGAATAACAGTGATGAATTCTAATCAGAAAGAATTGGGTGTGATAATAAAAGAAATGTGTTTTGTTTTGTTTTTTCAGTATTTTCTTGGATCTGTGATCTCACCCACTCTGGCCTTTCCTCTATGAGGAGATTGCAGAATTACCCTGCATTTTCACCCTCTGCTTGTTGCTCATATACTTCCAGAGATCTTCCAAAGAGGCTATGTGTTGTTCTACTAAGTCAAATGCCTCTCTGTCTCTCTCTCTCTCATTCTCTTGCTCTCTTGCTCTCGTAATCAGCAAGCAATAAACAGTAGGATTTTGTATTCTTTGTATGTGTGAGTCTAAAGACATGGGAATGTTGATTATGAAAGACTTTTTTTAGTTTGTATTTTATTGATTTCTTGATCTCTGGCAAGTCTTTTAACCTCACTGGATCTAAGAGGAGCCAAGAGGTGTGTTAATCCCAAGTTCAGTTGCTTTTTAGTGTTATTTTTATTCACATTTTTTTAGTTGTGTATATTATTCCTTATTTTATCTTTGCAGGCGTTAGTTCAGTTCTTCCCATTTAAAAGTTTTTCTAAATATCTGTCATTTTTAGTGTCATCAAAACATTCCATTACATCTACATGCCACAGTTTGTTCATCCACCAATTGGTGGACCTATTTCTGTTGTTTTCCACAAAAAACTTCTTCTATGAATAGTTTGGTATATATGGAAATACCTGCTTCTAGGTTTTTTTGTTCAGAAATGCTCGATACTCAGTATAGGTCATTCTCATAAAGGTAAGAAATTAGACATGTGAACCAGTAGTGACTGGCCTTTTGGGAGTAGTAATATCCAGGAATTTTTTCCATTCATTTGTGCTGGGATACCTTCTAAAAGGTTTCCTCAGTGCTCTTAAGATTGTATCACATCAAGCACTGGTTTTCATGGTGTTTACTTAATTTGTTCAGTTGTTTTTCCTGTTGTAAGTCTTTAGCATGAAGTGGCTTAAGTGCCTGAGACTTTGACTGAGATTTTTGGGTCCAAATGTTCCTCTGTCACTGATGAAGAAAACAGAACACTATGGAAATGATACATTTGTTCCATATAATTTGTTATCCTCTGGCAGTTAATGTGTAAATGATTGTGGAATGATGTAGCTTAGTTGAGTGTTGATTCAGTCATTCTTTAGATTTGTTTTCACTTTGTGTTATAAATGATACTATTCTTAATCTTCTGCTTTGCTCTGTAGTGATTGTGTGTGTGCGTGTATATGCGCATGTGTGCGCATGTATGCGCCACGGGGGTGGGGGGAGGATAAATAGGAAACAACTCACAAAAGGAAGCCACTGGAATTAAGAAGGGGTGGGAAAGGCTTCCTGTAAAAGATGGAATTTTAGTTGGTTCACATGTCTAATTTCTTTATGAGAATGACCTGTACTGAGTATCAAGAGTATTTCTAAACAAAGAAAGCCAGGGAATCCAGTAGGTGGAGATGACAAGGGAGAACATTCCAGGCATGGGGGGGCAGACAGAAAATGCCTAGAGACTACAGATGGAGTGTCTTGTTTGTGGAACAGCCACATGTGTCTGGATTGAAGATTATGTGGCAGGGAGTAAGATGTGAGAAGACTGGAAAAGTAAGAGGAGCCTAGGTTATTGGGGCTTTGCATGACAGAGGATTTTGTTTTTGATCCGGGAGGTAATAGGTTTTGCTTTTGGACATATTAATGAAACCATTTCTGCCAACTCCTTTGCCTTTTTGAGGAAAACCTGTGAACCATCCTTATATTCAGCTGAAACTTCTTTATTTATTTTAAGACTATCCATATTAATGTGGTGTGGTTCATCTGTTATTAAGCATTATTTTGTCATTGCACAAATCTTAATATTCAGTTTAGATCAGACATTTATTAATTGCCTACTATGTACCAGGCACTGTATTAGGCACTGGGGGGTACAAAGACAAAAAGTGAAGATTTTCCGTCTTCATGCATCTTGCATTCTACAAGGAGGTGTGGGAAGTAACATATACAAATTGTTTATGGTTTTCTAGACCTGTGATTTGAATGGAGTTGGAAACTCCCAGTCAGGAAATTCTCTGTATTAATGTAAATAAGCAAATATTTTTCAGTCTGTTACATTAGAGAGTGAATTGTGGTGGACATAGATATCAAAGTAAATTCAAACTAATTTTTTGAGGGGAACTATTAACAACAAAGAGGAATCAGAAGGCAGCAATTGAAACAATGGAGGTAGAAATTCCAAGAATGAGAGGTGAGGAAAGAAAACATGTCAGGATTGGGAAGATAGGATAGCCTGTGCAAATGGGTTGGAAGTGAGAGATAGAATGTGTGCTCAGATGACAGCAAGGAGATCAATTTATGTGCAATATGGAGTGTGGGAGGGCAGTAACATGAAGTACGTTTGGAAAGTTAAGTTGATACCTCCAGGTTGGAACTAGAAGGGCTTTGCATACAGAGGAGTTCGTATTTGTTCTTAGAAGCAATAGGAAGTCACCAAAACTTTTTGGGCAGGGGAGTGACAGAGTTATGCCTGAGGTTGAGGAATATCAATTTGGCAGCTTTGTGGAGGTGAAAAGGCCATTTCTGAGTCTTGGAGTAGTAGACTGTAGAATTAGTTTTACCACGAGATGATGAAAACCTGACATAAGGTAGTAACATTCACATGAGAAACTAGATAAAGATAGAATTCGCAATACCTGGCAATTGATTTTATATGTAGTACAAGAAAGACTGAAGAGTTGAAGATGGCTTTGAGAGTCTTCTTGAACTTTCGGTAACATTTGACATTGTTGATTACCTTCTCCCTATGAATACTCTCCTCTCTGGGTTTTTGTTTGTTTGACTCCTTATTCTGTTCTTACCTGTTTTAAATGCACCTTCACTAGCTCATAATCCGTGTCAGGGCCATTAACTGTGGTTGTCTTCCAAGACACTGTCCTCAGCCTTCTTCTCTTTTCTCTCTATATTTTGTCATTTGGTAATCTTCCGTGGCTCCCAGTTCAGTTATCATCTTCATGCCAGTCTTTCCCAGATCTACAAATCTAGCCCTAGTCTTTCTCCCAAGCTCTACTCTCACATTAACACCTACCTGCCTCTTGGACATCTCTACATATAGTTATATGTGTTAAATTCAACAAGTCCAAAACAGAACTCTTTGGTTACCTGCAAGCCTCTCCATTTCCCAATTTTCCTTTTACTGTTGAAAGGAAAACAGGCCTCCCATCATCCTCTACTCCTCGCTGTCACTCATCCTACATACATATCTAAGCTATTGCCAAATCTTGTCATTTCTGTCTTCACAAAGTATCTGATATATGCCCCCTTCTCTCTAGTTACTTAACAACCACCTTGATTCAGGCCTTTATTACCACTCCTCTGGACAATTCCATTTGGCAGTTAGGCGGCACAATGAATGGAGCCAGGAAGACCTAAGTTTGAATATTACCTTAGACAGTAGTTATGTAACCCTGGGCAAGCCAGTTAAGCTATATGCTTCAGTTTTCTGGTCAGTAAAAAGTGGATAATAATAGCACTTACTTCACAGGATTATTGTAAGGATGATGAGATAACATATAAATGCTTTGCAAGCACCACGTGCTATTTGTCTGAAACTTATTCACTGACTGGTCATTAAAGCATGTTCTTTTCTGTGAAGCTTCTGAGCTTGAGATGTGATAGTAGCATCTGACTGTAATTTCACTAGTGACAGACACCTTTAAACTGTGGGGTCAAAGGCACAAGTAATTTTTCTCAAAAAAGAGTGTTTCCCAGTAATTCATAGTTCCATCAACAATGTGGCTATCTTTGAAACATCCCCCATCCATTCCCCTCACTCTGTGTCCTCCCCAGCATCTTACTTTAAAGCAGCCCACCCTTTCCAGTGTGCTCTGTCGAATGGCTTTTCAGTAACTGACATAAATGCCTCATCTTACACATTTTCCTTTCTCAGTACTTGCTTCTTCTTGCATTCCCTTAGACCTGGCTCTCTCCTGATGACAGTTTTCCTAGCCACCTTTTCCAGCACTAGCTGCACCTTCACACACCCATCTCCCCTTGTCCCCCCAAATCACTGGTTCTGGTAGAGTTGGAGTATCGCTTGCTCCTCAACTTCCAGGTTCTGACTCTCTCACCATCACTCAGTAACCTCTTGTCCTTTGGGGTTCATTCAGTCCATATCATCCAGTCAAGATTCTGGTAGCTGTTTATTTATGAACCTCCAGGATACTCTCAGTGAACTCATGAGTTCTGTTCCTGGCTCATCATCTTTCTGTCTTCCCCAACTGCTGTAGTGATGCTCCTTCAGTCACTTCCCATTTTCCAGTTGCTCAATTTTGTCATCTCCCATGACCTATTCCACCTCACCTCAGCTACATACAGTTGGTCTTTTTTTAACCTTACGTCTCCCATCACTTAGATACTTTCTGCTACTGTCTCCTTCAATCATGGTTCACTTGAAGAGATGGCCTTTCTCCTTGCAAAGACTAAGCCCTCTACATACACAGGTAATGCCATTTTCATCTTTCCTAGCACGATCTCCTGTCTCTCTCCAACCCCTTTATCCTAATATCTCATTGATCTTCAATCTCTCCCTGTCTATTGGCTGCTTCCGTACTGCCTACAAACACACCCACATCTACCCCATCTTCAGAAAACCCTCACTTAATCCCTAATATCATCCTACATCTCTCTTCCCTTTTTTTTTTGTTTTTTTTTTTTTTAGCAGGCATAGTTCAGTTTATTTGTTTATAAAAAACATCATCTATGTGGTTGCCAAAGCAGCTGCCTGGGTCCTCTGGACAGACACTTGAGTGTGAGTCTTCACAAGATGGTCGGTGAATTCTTGATAGGGAGACTTAGTGAACA